AACTGTCAACGGGATAATTATCTCGTTATCTCGAGAAAACGGCGTTTAAAAAAAATATGCGGCCATGACCGCTCTCGGCTTCCGTAACATTCTCGTCACAAATTAGTCAGAAAAAATGGGTCGTCAACAAAAAGTTTTGGTTTAAGTTTTGGTTGATAAAATGAACACTCCCCTGGCATCGCACCGCCCCACTGTCTGAGAAGGACTGCCCGATGTGGAGCCTGTCAGGCTGTGATGAATCTGTTGCATCTATCAGATGATGGAGCTGCACTTTTCCTAAATGAATGATAGATCTCTTATCCCACCATCCCCAGCTACTTGTGGGATACTTCAGTTTTGTGACCATTTAAAAGCGGCAAGTCTGATGTGTGCGCACCAGCTGCAGCCTTTCAATTTCATACCTGCCACGTGCAGTTTGTTCGCGCTTTGTACGAGCTGGCTCTTTCAAAGTTAGTCCAAGAAGGTCCCTGCTTTTATGTGCATCACAAAAAATGACACCTTGAACATTGGTACTGTGGTGAAAGCAGCAGGTGGGCAGCTTCATTCCTCCGTTGCTGGACGTAATCAGCCATGGCACTGCGGTGAACTCAGAAATAAACACAATCAGTGAAGTTGGACACTTAGCAAAAGCAGGCCTTTGGTTTTGTGATGGTGGTAACAGATGTGTTGATAAAAATTAAGGAAAGTCTGTTTCATTAGATGCTCACGTGAAAGCACACCGAAAAGCTTATCAGATGTTGGCATCCTGGAAATATATCCTGAGTTGTGGCTTTCAAATGAAATAGAGGCACTTCAGGAGTACAGGAGATAGCCACGCAGTGTTTTCAGGAATGAGAAACACATTTGAGCTCTGCTGAAAACTAAATCGATTTTACATCCACTCCAGGTGCCACAGTCTGAAGCCTGAACCCTGATTTCATCTTGAAATTGTGACACCTGGAGTGGATATAAAATTGATTTGGTTTTAACAGAACTCAGATGTGTTCATCAGCCCTAAACATTTCTTTGCTTATTTCTTTTACATATGAAGTCAAAGATGCTGGAAAAATAACGCAAATTTAAAAAGACTGACATTTTGACCAATTCTTGTGTATTTTTAGGGTCTTGTAAGTGATAAAATATTCATAGTATGAAAGTAAAAATTACTGGGGAAAAAAAAAACTCAAATGATTGTAGATGAGCAGACATCTATGCAGCACATTTTGTGATATTTGACAACGTTTATGGCAACTGAAAACAATGGAAGAGTTCATCTGCAAAAACAGGTTGCTCCATTTTTGTAGATTTTCTGATTTTTTTTTTTTTTTGTGGTTTGCTTGAAATAATGTCAAACTGAAGTTGAGTGGATTTGACTTAGTAGAAATGACAAAAATAGAGATAACTTAGACTGGTGACCTGTCCTTCACCTTTAATCATCTGGAAGAGGCTCATCCGTGACCCCAGTGAGGATTAAGCAGTGTATAGATAATGGATGGATGATCAACTAAAGTTGTAGTCAGACTGATTTGTCAGATCTTAAGATGCATGTTGTTGATTTACTTTGAAGGACCATGCTTGTTTGTTTTCTCCAACCATTTTCCAGATATTTGTAAGAAGATCCTTGCTCTACCCTCCAGGCAGTCTTTCATTTCATTATTCTACAAAATGAAAGTGGGCCTACGCTACTGGTAGAGTTATCAATCACATTAAACACCTCGTCATCTTTTGGGACTTATAGGATCCATCATGTTGCCAAAGCTGCAGCAGCGTTGCTCAAAGTTTGGTTTCCTGCCATGATGGTCAACAGTGGTGCTGCACATGCTCTTCTGTTGTGTCATTAATCATTTATTCGTTGTTTGTTTTTATTTTTAAGGGTACCGAATGATCCCTCACTTCTCAGTCGTCTGCTATAATCCAAAAACGCTTTGTCAGTGTGGTGCTTTCTGTGGAGACCTGCAGTTTTCACTATAAGTGGCTAAGTTCTGTTGCACTATGATGCTGTCACTTCTTAGATACTGTGGACTCACGTTACCACAGACAAACACTAAACAACAGAAGTGAATACACTTTTATTTAATATCACTTAGATGTCAGTTAATTCAAAGTTGTACCACCTGACAGTAATGTCATTACTTCCAAGTAGAACAGAAGCATGTTTGCTCTTATGTAAAACTAAAAGTAACAGTTTCTGTGCATGATATTGGGCTGGAAGGTACCTGGGTGGTTTGCACCGTTGCCTCGCAGCAAGAAGGTTGTTGTCCCAGTGAGGACACCCGGGATATTTCTGCGTGGAGTCTCCATGTTCTCCCCGTGCAGCGTGGGTTCTCTCCAGGTTCCCCGGCTTCCTCCCACAGTCCAGAAACATACTGAGGTTAATTGGTGATTGTAAATTGTCCGTAGGTGTGAATGTGAGTGTGCTTGGTTGTCTGTCTCTAAATGTAGCCCTGTGATAGACTGGTGACCTGTCCAGGGTGTCCCTAAGTCAGCTGGGATAGACTCCAGCCCCCCCGTGACCCTAGTGTGGATTAAGTGGTGTATAGATAATGGATGGATGGATGTGCACTATATTAAAAATACATACCCCACAATAGTAACTCAAAGCAACAAAAGTCAATATTACTGAGATTCAAATCTTTAATTTTGTCAACACTTCATATGTCCACCTTTATGACAGACTTGGTCCTCCTCAGCATGGAGGACACCAAATTTCTGTAGAGACGTTCTGTTGTTCTTCAAAGACTGTTTTTTTAGTGGCTCTTTGCTGGAGGGCTTGTGTTGCTCTACATTTCTCTTTAAAATACACCAAATGTGTTCTGTTGGTTTCAAGTTTGATGAAGTTTGACAGTTTGCTTGGCCAGGTAATACTTCTTACTTTTTCACTCTTGTGTGATTTTGGCAGTATGCTTTGGATGGTTATCATGCTGGAATAGTCCTCTTCTGCCACGTTTCTGCAGACTGGGAGTCATTTTGTCAGACATCACTCATGCATCCTCATATCATCACACTCCGACCTCCGTGCTTCACCGTCAGGACCATTCACTGCGGTAGTCCTGGTCAAGTTCTCCCCAAACTTGTTGAATCCCATCTGAGCATGTTGATCTCATCTGAACAAAGAATGTGCTCCCAATATTTCCCTATCAGGCTTCTTTCCTTGTTCTTGATCAAAGTTAATACAGACGTGAAGAACAGTTTTCCTTTGATGCCATCCATAGAAGTTGATACTGAACACTGTCCACCTCACTGCCTGAGCTGTTACAAAAATATTAAATGATAACCCCTGTGCCAAGTTGAAAACAGTTGCCCCTCTGTTTTTCTGAGCTAAATTGACCAAGTAGGGCACTATCTGTGGCATCTGCAGCTGTGATTACGAGCACTGTGGCTTGTTCTGTACCTCCTGATTACTACTGTAATTGTTTGTTGACTGATATTTCATCTTCCTTGATACTTTTCAGTCTTTGTGAAGTCTTACAATTAGATTTTTCATTTCCTCTGGCAGTTCTTTTTCATGTTGAGCCATGATGCAGACCTGCATTTTTACATAAGTCATTTTATAACCATGTCCATGTAAGTAGGTTGATTGGAAAACGCAGATGCACCCTGTTTTGTTTCAGTGATCACAGGTGTATTAACTTTTGTTACATCATATTACATTAAGTTTCTGCTTTGGGACCTATATTTCCAATATCATTTTTCTAAAGTGTTTGTTGTTGATTGTTCATAAGAGAAAATACTCCACTGTTCAACTTATAAGGAATACAATTATTGAGAGGTGATACTAGTTGAAATCATTTAATATTTAACTGATATTGCACAGTGCAGTCATTTCTGTTGATTTGAGATGTAAACTCAATCTGATAGTTTCGAGCTACTAACAGGAAAAAGGCTGATGCAGCGTGTTGACTAGTGTGTTATGCAATTTGTGTGAATGACATCTTTACAGTTTCTCACAGGTGAGAACCTCATCCAAGTAGAGTAACTTCACACTAATTAATCTCTGCTGGGTTGTCTGTATTTTTTTTAGATCTTAGTCTATAACTGGCTATGCAATAGTTTATCATTAGAAGTTGGTTATGAACAAATTAAAGTGAATTTCTTGAAAATGACGACTTTATCCATCTTCATTGCCCACCCGATTTAAATGTTGGGATGTGAGGCAAAGCCACAGGAAGAGAGCAGTAATGCCTGTGTGCAATGTGCTGCAAGTCCGTAACTCTTAATTACAGCATGAAACAATAACAGAACATGCTGCATTCTAAACTCATCAGAATTCACTGTAAGCTCTTGCATCGGGTTGCATTATATTTTCAGTTCCGCGGTTTCGTCCTCTTCCTAGCATAGCTGTTATCTGGCTCTTGCTATCTAGTAACTGTCTATGTTCCATGCCAACTGTTGCTGAAATAAACCTCTTGGCACTGACGTGTTGTTGAGTTTATGTGCTCCTTGCAGTACCTCAGTGTACCACCAGAGTCCGCTCTTCCCACACCCTTACTTAACAGGTGCTTTTTTTTTTCTCTCTCACGTCACATCACAAGGAATTCACGACTTTGAAGCTGAGGTTCAACCAGTAAAGAAAATAATTTTAATATTTGTCAGATCACTATAACACACAGGTATCCTGTCATATCACACCACATGTGCAGGTGGACAACATGACAGCTCTTCTAAAAGTCATTGGAAAGCCAAAATGAGAACCTGTCCCAGTGTTTTGTATTTATAGAACAATCAGTTGCAATTAAACAGTTATGAGGCACTATGCAGTGACTTTGGCAGTGCAATTTTCAGCATACCCAGGGGTATAGCCTTGCTTTGATGGCCCACAACAACATTTAGTCTTTGTGGCATGGCAGATGGTGGAGAACGCTCACAGAAACCACTTAACATTGATAATGACATCGTTTCCCTCTCCTCTGGCCCCGGTCTACCTTCTGCTGGGACGAATGAAACTGGCACAGGTACAGCACTGCTACATCACTACAATGTGGAAACAATCATTTTTATTCAACTAACAACTACACACAGTTTGGAGAAAACAAAACCAGCGTCAGGTACCCCTCCCATGGGTGTGGAATGGTTGGATGAGAAGCAGGCAGGTGATTGGACTGTTTAGCGGCGCTTGTCGTAAGTCTGTATTGTGCTCCACTCGTAGGACTCTGCAGAGGGAGAAACACTGAGTTAGTTTTGGGACACATTTGCTTCCTGGAGAATAATCTATAAACTACGAGCAGAGTTTTCTTGAATTAATGTTACCTGGCTCCTCTTGGCTCCTTTTCCCCATCAGTCCAACAAAAGAGTTGACTTTATGTCCTTCAAAGGAAACACATTTACATCAGAGACTGTTCCACAAACAGCCTAAAGTATAGTTTAGCTAACGGCAACAGGAGTTGTACCCATAATGTAAATATACACATTTTCACAGTTGACATGCTGTTCCATACACATTTCAGTAGTTTTTTCTTTTTAAATGCGACCCCTTAAAATCTCTTGTCTTCTTTGTGACATTGCTTACAGGTGGTTATTCTTTCTCACACCTCCTTCGAGGCCTGAAGTGATGAAAACAGTCGAAGACAGTCAGAAGGCATGAATCTCAAATGTTATTCATGCTTTCTAGATATGGGGTGTTTCCCAGGTTGGGAGCAGTGACGTAGTATCGCCAGGTGTAATTTGTGTGTAATTCTAGAATATACGCTCCTCTTTAGATCTGCACACATTTCCAGGTACGGCACATAGATATGTGCTTAGAGTTTCCAAATGTTGTCCTGTGTCCAACATGTGGACTGGAACCCAAACCCCGCTCCAGTCAGGTTGGCAGTGATGTAAATGTGACGGACAGCTGCATCACAGACTGACCGGGGCCCCTGTCAATCACAGTAATGGACTGTAATATAATCATGAGGAAGGCGGTTTGGGGGGTGGGGGGTGCATTAGATTGGGGTGTTATAAAATACAGAGAGCCCTGAGGGAAAATCTTCTATTACCAACATCAGTGTTTGCATTACACTGATGAGTTAACTGTAGAAAATGTCCTTGTTGGTCAGCAGTGCAGAAATCACTGTTTTGTCTCGTTTTTCCCCCTGTCTAGTGTTCTAAGTGTAGAAGGCATCCTCAGTGTAAGTGAAGGATGAAATGCGTCGCTCCTTCTATCCATCACAAGCGTAAACAATCCAATTTAACTCTCGCATGTCCTTGGGGCATTGATCCCAGCACTCTCCCTCTCCGTAATGATGAGTGACTTACAGCCATGCCTGCATGAGAGGAATAAATTAGACATATACTTATATATGCTGCGCTGTGTTGCATCACTGAGTGGGTGACTAATTTAGAGCAAATAAAGAGAGAAAAAGGGAAAATCCCCTCCTCCTCGTTTCTTTTTGCCTCTGCGCTCTTTATCGCTTCCCTCTTTGTCGTCTGCTCAGGACCACCTCCCTTACTGCCAAATTAGTGTGTTCAAAAGAACAGAAAAAAAACCTGACATGCAGTAATCAGTGGTGGCTGTCAATTAATTAAACCCTGCAAAATTGTTTGCTTCTTCTGTCCCTGTTCCTTTTTAAGCAATGACATAAAGATTCTTCTCAATTAGTAATACTGGGGGCGAAATATGAGAGAATTTACCTTTTTTTTTTTCCACATTGCTATCTTTTTGGAACAGAACATCTGGACCCAAACGGCCAAACGGCTGATGTTTTCCACTTGTAGTGGGGGTGAGATGATGTCTACAGAGCTTTAACAGTCATCCAGTGTTCGGGGATGTAACGCACACACCCCACACGAGACCCGCTGAATTCATTCTTATTGTACAGAAACCCCACATCTTTACCTGATCTTCACACATGTGGCTCTGTTTATGCATTTGTTGTAGTGCTGTTTTGGGGCAAAGCTTTTTTTTGATGAGTCAACGGGTCTTTAAAGCGTTTATTTTAAGTTCACTGAAATCAAATTTTGAAAGAGATTTTGAGGCTTTGGCAACCTCTGAGGAGTTTACCCTACACAATTCTAACAAATATTACATTGAGTGTATTTATACGGCCTCATTCCAATATGTTTTAAGGTGCTTAATTGAATTTGTGCCCTTTTAGGCCAGAGAAAAAGATAAAGCTGGTTAATGATGTTATAGAAAATAAGACTGAATTACTAAATTAAAAAGAAAGCCGTTTTAGAATAGTAAAACTCTGGCTGTGACCCTGCACAGGAAGAATTTCTGAAACTGTTAAAGAGGATTCACTTGATCAGAACACCTACGAATGATTAAAGCCAGAGACAGGTGGGACACTGATGAAAGATCAGATCATTTAAAATACGGTATGAGGACAAATGTCTCCTGTAGGATGGAGCAATGACACTAATCATTTATCATTAGTCCTCTTCATGTTCCATTTAATTCAGATTATTTTATCCGGGTTTGACTGACATGCACATTGCAAGGATCACACATTCTCCAGGGTACTGCAGTGTCCCCCTTTCACTGAGTTTTAAGACACGAAAAGGAAAATTAACAAACAACTGACATGATTGTAGTACTTACTTTTGCGGGTGATCTGTGCATTTGCTGTAAGAAAAGAAAAATCAAAGTTATCATTACGACAAGAAGTCCACAGAAGAAAAGAAAAGCTGAACAGTACTGAGAAGGAGCCCTTCCTCACCCATAGAGCGTTTCCCCATCAGACCAATGAACTGATGCGGTCGCGGCTTTCTCGTCATCCTCAGGAGGATTTCTCTGAATGGGTCGTTGGAAATCCAGCCATCCTGAGGGAGGTAAATCTCAATGAATGTTCACGGAGTCGCCAGGCAGTAGTGTTGAGATCCAGACTGGCAGCTTGTCTAGCTGTGTGATCCCAGTATCTGTTCTCACTTACTACCAAAATGATGGAACGGCTTTATAAATGTGTGAAGACTTTGTGTTTTTCTCTGATTAGAAATACAAAACTGCACGTGTTATATAAAATAATAAATTCCTACTTGCTGTCCTGATAACAAAAGCAAAAAAAAAGATCAAAATCTGCTAGAACTTGTGAATGTATCTTGAAAAAATATTATCTAAAAAGCCCAACACCCTCATCTATCCACCTGCACTGAGTAAAAATCCATACATGGCTTCAATGTGAAGCTTTCCCTAAGTGTTTCTATTTCCATCTCAGGATGTATTTCTACACTATGCATTAGTCTGACTGAGATGTGAACCTTGGGGCCACTAATGTCCCGCACACTAAGTTGTAATGATTTATTGTAGGCTCATTCATCTGCAGAATGGCTCCAGCCTACAGTTTTGGCTGTTGGATGAGCTGCCTGGCACGTCTCCAACTCGCAATGTCAAACGCTGGACGTGCGTTTCATGTCAATGGAGCAGCTTTGGGCTTAAGCTCCTACTACAGCGTACTGTGCACTTAAGGCTTTATTTAATTTCCTATTGGCTGGCTGCTCTGCAACAATATCCATCTTCATGCTGAGTGTTACTGAGCCCGAACATCTTATTTGCTCTAAGTACGGCGAGATGCTTTCAGTTCAGCTTGTTCTCAGACTTTTCTCAGCATTCACTTCCTGCATTTTGTGAATATCCACATACTCGGGCTGAAAAATTAATGAAACATGAGAAACTGCCCTGAGAACAGATGGAATCGTCTCACACTGACAGATTTGTTTGTGGTTTTACAGAAAGCCTACAGCCTTGGAGCCTTGACCCTGTTCATTAGCAGAGTGGACTGTTTCTTTACAGTCTGGGAACTGGATCAATTCATTGTAATGACTGTGCACTGTTAGCTGTTTTGCCCTTAATTAATTAGTCGGTACAAATTAGTCATGTTTCATTTCAAATTATGGCTAATGGAGGGTGAAAAGAATGAGTGAAAATCACATTAACTCCATGAAACCACATCTTAAAAACAATATGAAGTTAAAAAAATACATTCTCATTGACTACATCTGGAGAAATGCATTACAGTTATTGGGCATATGCAGGTTTTTATAGCAAACAGCCCACTCTTCAGTTTAACACAGTGATTTCATCAACCTCACTAAATTCCAGTCTACATTCAGTTTAATCAATGAATAACTTTCCTTATTATATTTGGGTTAAACAAACTTTCATCCAGAAGAGACGGAACATTTAATCCCCTTTTAGCCTCAGCTTCCACTAACAGGCTCAGTAATAATGGTGAATAAGTATTCTCATAATACATATGTACAGTAGCTACCTGGATCTGATTACTGCTCGTCCAGTAGTCCACTTCTCCTTTTGGCTCGTTTTCCTCGCAAAAAACTTGGGCGACGGCGAAAAAAGCCATTAAAAGAGGTAAAAGCAGGAACTTCATGGCGCTGAGCTGCTTTTTTTTCTCGCTAAAATTCACTCAAACTGGCTTCTCCTGTTTGTTTTTTTTACTCTAAAACGAGCGTCGACAACAGAAAGTAGAAAAGCACAAAGTAAACCAAGTGCGTTAGAGGCACGAGCTGGATGTGTTCTGTGCGCGCGCTGCTTCTGCCCTCGCGGCTCAACAGTAGTCCATAGCGCGTGCGTGTGTGTGTCAGGACGCTCAACTCCCGCCACTGGTTCCAGAGCTGTCCGCGCGCTCTGCCTCTGCACCAACTTCCCCCTGTCCGCCCCGCGTGCGCTCCTATATAGCAGTCTGAGCTGTGTTGCTTAGTAACGCCGTTACAGTAGTGGGATTACTCTCGCCGTGTCACGAGTACACGAGAAATTGATTTACAATAGAAGTTGTTGTCGTCAGGAGCTGGACACTGTGTGCGTCACCGTGCATCTGCACTTTGTGTTTTTTAAAAAAAATTTTTTATTTTCATCGTAGATATACTAAAATGAATTATGGCGCCATGACTTGACTTTAATCAGACTGTACTGAGTAGTTGTCTAATGAGTCGTGATAAATGCGCCTCATATTTACTTCCACAAACCAGAACTTGAACTATTCACTGACGGGAGCTTGTGAATGCTGCGTTCACGTTCCTGTTCTTGTGTAACACCCAACTGAGGATAAATTTAACTTCATATTTTGTAGTTTTGTCATGATTTTTTTCTCTTTTTCTAATTCTGCATTTTACTTTATTTTGATAGCTGACACCATAGAGAGACTGCAAACTCACAACAATCCTGTTGCCCACACTTCTATGATGGTATTTTCACTGAGGAGTAATCAGAGTGGGACTTCGTCACACTTTTCTTAAAGACCCCACACAGCTGTCAGAGGACACTGTGTCTCCTAAAAGCAGATGTGATGCAGATGCTCACATCTACACTAATAATAACCCAACAGTCACGTAAGCCCAGAATGACGCACTTGCTTTTGCGTGGCACTTAATTTTAGAATCTGTATTTTTATTTTATTTAATTTTTTAGGCCTAACTGGTGACTGCTCACACACCAAGCAACCTATTTATTGTATATAACATGTTGTTTAGCAAAGCTCTCATATCAAAGCCCAGATGAAAAGCAGAGGGACGTGTGACCTGAAGGTGCCACTGATTTACATTAGAAAAGCTTTTTTTTTAAATAATAGGCCGTTCACGATGAATAGAGGACTGCACTGCCCCGCTAAGTTCAGTGTCTACACACCTGATGGAGTCCTTGATTTGCTCAAGTGTCTTTATTCCATTAACAATAAGTTCATTTTATTTACCCATGTGCTATTTGTCAAATGCAAATGTTTTCTCTGTGCTCACATAATCCAGGCTGCAACACCGTTTTGCATGAACACGAGCACATTTGAAGGTTGTTTTGCATTGATTGACTTGACATGACCTTGATGTGTGTGTTTTTTTTTTAATAGAATGAAACCATGGATCTAGTCAGATTTCCCATCAGCCCTTTTTTTTTTTGCCACATAAAGTGAAGAATTCCTGTTGAACTTTGTGAAGCAGGCACAGGCTCTGTAGATAGGTTTACAGTAATATTCATTACCTCTCCCCACCGAAGGGGCCTCTGTGGTCATGGAGCCACTCCGGACTGAGATTTAATCATCCTCACAACTGTGACAGCTCATCCAATTAACAGACGGAAGGGGGAGGTGAGGAGAGAGAGCTGGAGAGAGAGAGAGAGAGAGAGCGAGGTGATGGAGCTGTTGGAGCCATGGGAGGGAGTTACCACAGAGGGGGAGGATTAAGAAGGAATATGTAGGAGGTAAAGAGAGCAGGGAGCCACTGAAGTTGGGGCACGCTGATAAACAGATATGCAGATTACACGGTGAGATGTGGACAAATAGGGCGTCAGTCCACGGAGACCGAGCGATGTCTGCAGCTGCTAGTGCTGCCTGGATCAGCTGGATGGCGTAGCAGGTCACTGAGGACGCCTTTCTAACTTTGATAAGGCATCCAGCAACAAATGGGACTGTGACATGCTGATGTGATGCATGAATATATTAGAGCATAAGTTGATTTTGTGCATGGAATGAATCCAAACCAGATCATTTGTTGGAAGGGAAAACTGAGCGAAAGCAACCCTGTGCCAATAGTTAATGCATGAGCAACTTGAATGAGAAAGTCCCTGCTGTAAACAGGGATCCTAACAAACATTCAATTTATCTTTTAATTAAAGTAGCCTAGAAGACGGTAAAATAAACAGGAGTTGTTAAAATATTAACTATCTTATGATCTTCCATGAAAATTTACACAGAAGATAAAACTATTTCTGCCTTTTTTTTTTGGTTAAGCTGCAAACTTGCCTTGTACAGAACATGATATAAAACACTGTCAAATGAGGAAAGGAAGAAATTAATCTTGCTGTTATTGCACAGTCTGCTAATTAATGTGTAATAGTTTATTAATGTTAAAATGATACATGTTCCAACTCTATGACTTTATGCAAACAAACACTCAAAGATCTCCCTACGTTTTCATTCTTTTCTAATTAAAGATGCTGGGAAAATTTAAATGGGGTCGCCACATGTCAGTTTTCTCTGTGTGTATATTACACTCGGCAGATATTTCTCAACAGGAGCTTCTGCAGTTTTATTTTTCAGCATGAGACTCCAATGGCAACGACAGATATGAGCTAAAACAAGAGATCTGTCTCGTGTTGATACCCAAAACCTGCTGCATGCAAGGTTTCAACATGGACCAAACAGATTTTATGTCTCTAAATATGAGCCAAATAACAATCTTTAGTAATTTCCAAATTGCTTTTGCATTTTTAAAACTATTCATAAATTATTGCTTTCACATCTGCAGCCATGATAGAAAAGCATCAGCCAGTAGTACCATTTGGTTACAAAAAAGTAATCAGCTTCAGTTATTTGAGGTACTTGTACTTATTTCTGTGATAAATCATTTTTATTTCAGCATCAAAAAAGACAGCAAATATACATTCAGTGCATTGGTATGAATAAACCAGTGGTTCCTGACCTTTGTGGCTGGTGATCTGTAAAAGAAAAAGATGGTTATGAATATAATAGAAACATTTTAAATCTAAATTTGTGTAGCAGAAGTTTTCTTATTCCTCTTTGTTCTTTTCTTTATCTCCCATAAATCATTTTATAAACCCTCCAATTTATTTTGGGACTGCTAGGCTAAAATACTTAATAGTACATTTTACTGCAGAATGAGTAATGTTTGATACTATAAGTGCAGTTTGAAGATAATACTTCGGTATTTGCACTTTAAAAAGAGTATTTTATTTTTATATGTAACAGAATTCTGACATTGTTGTCTAATTGTAATGAGGTCATTATTGTACATTATACCTCTTTAAGAAACCAGTTTTTAATGTTGGTTTGCTGTAACAAAAAAAACAAACAAAAAAACCCATTTTAAATTTTTATTTTTTTTTACAGAATTTTGCCTTTCACTGTAAAGATTTTCTCCACATTTTTTGAAATACGTGAAAATTTCAACAAAAACAGATCATGAATCTACACATATAATGTCAAATATAATAGGAAATAAAACCTATGAAATATTAAACATTCTTTTGTCACGTTTCATGTAAAATCTCATAATGCACTTGATATGAGCTAAAATTAACGGTACAATGCTTTAATTTAAAACTAAAATTATATGATAAAACCCAACTCATGTTAGTAGTTGACTGCAGGAGTAAAACTGAACGTTTGTATTATAATATTATTCAACAATATTGTTGAATAATATACAAATGCACACAGATGGTGGTAAAACTAAACCTAGAAACTATATATTAATCATAAATACATTTTGTTTTGTTATGACATGGATTTGTTCTGTTGTTTCTTTATTTTTTGCGCACCAGGCACTGAAATATTACCCCCAGAGTATTACATGAACATACAGAATATAGAACATACTCTATATGCCCAGTGGCACATATGAACATAAACTGGACGCTGTGTCTTGCTGATTGAGACACCTTCCACACAGAGCACTGAGACTGCAGCATCCCTGCTTTGACTCAGATTGGGTCTGTTTACTGCGTCTCGTTCCTCATCTCCTGAATTCCATCCCTGTCACCTCCCTGCTGGTCACCTTTCAAAAGAAGGCAATGCCGCAACCAAACGCCGTGACCAACACTGGCGTCCACCTTTGATTCTGAGAGCAGACTGTTTTTATGAAACAAGAGGTTGCCGGCAAAGCCTAAAAAAAAAAAAGTCTACTGCACAGCATGTCGCTTTGAGCTTAGATAAAATATGCACATGACTGCTGTCTGTTTCCGATATGAAAATACATATGAGTTCCTTTAAGTGTACTCGTATTACACATTCAAATGGAAATAATGAAATACAGTCATTTCCCTTCCTGTCTTACCAACTCTAGTGCCTCTTATACTCCGAAGAGAGTTGATTCATTCATATTTAGTCAGACGTGTGTCCTCACGTGCGGAGACAATAGCAGTATGCAATAACAAACAGTGTTCTGGACTGACTAATTAAATGGACACTTCTGTAATGCCAGTTTATCAGTTCCACACTTTCACTGCATCAAAAGTCCACACAGCAGTAGTTTTGTCAGAAGTCCACATGCAGACTGTGCACACACAAGCAAAGTACAGTGAATACTTGTTTCATACACTGTCTGTATGCACTGTGCTTCACATGCTTGGTCCTATTCTAATAATCAAACACCTGCACACACTGTTTTTGTTTTTTGACATTTTAATGCTGTTCAGCCAAGTGCAGTAAACTAATAAGCCCTTTTTGTTGGCATGAAGAGGTCACAACCATGCTGTTAAGTGTACATACGAGTCTGCATCATCAAGGGTATTGTTCTTTCTTATATATATACACATACATAAGTACACCTGTGATTTCCAATTAGTCTAACGGCATGAACATGGTTATAAAATGAACCCCAGAACCCTCCAGTTTTGTATCTATCTGCATGTCTACATCATGACTCTGATTGTTAAAAAGTCTGACAGTCAGGCCTCTCAAAGATGGAAACGGAAACACAAAGATTGGTGACGACCTGAAAATCATTCAAGACACAGTTGCAGCAGTATTCAGGAGGTATAGAATGAACCATAGTACCACTAATAAGAGTTGTAGTAGTTGTACA